TGTTATAAATCTATTGGGTGTCCAGACTCGGTCCCGGAGGGCCGGTGTCCTGCAGAGTTCAGCTCCAGTCCCAATCAAACACACCTGAAGCAGCTCATCAAGCTCTTACTAGACACCTACAGACAGGTGTGTTGAGGCTAAACTCTGCAGCACTGAGTCTGGACATCCCTGTTCTAGACTGTTAAACCAAACTACAAACAAGAGCCAGAGGACTGACACCACAGAGAACAGAGAGGACCGATAATTACCTTCTCTTTTATCTTCTTGCTAGTGTAGACTTTTCTTAGATCTTTTCGGACTAGAGGACATTCTTCATCCACCTTTGTCATGATGATTGCCTGAGGAATTTCTGTTGGATGTGAACATAAATTTAAATAGTTATTCATTGTGTGATGTTGCTTGAAGTCTTTATGCATTCCACGTCATTTTGCTAGATTTGTGTGGCATGAAGAAACGTTGAATGATCCAAATAAACTACGGGACCCAAACACATTAATGAGTCTTCTTGCATTTATCATGTGGAGATTTTAACAGACTATTTTAATGTGTTGCTGTTTTACTCACCCAGTGTGCTGGCCTTCTGTCTAATATCTTTAATCTTTTCGAAGACATCTTGATTCATCATTGATACCTTGTCAGCTGCTATGACGTAGACCAGGCAGTATGTCTGATCCTCAGGGCTTGTATTACTTCTGTCCTCGTTGTTATCAGGAACAGCTGGATTGAACTGAATGGAAAAGTAAAAGAGAAAAACAAAGAGATGAGAGGAAAGAGGTCATATATCTGGCCTCTTCAAATCAAGGATAAAAGAGGAAAGGCTCTGTTTTATAATTCTGCAGTGTCAATGCATTGTTTGAATAACATGTAAATAATTTCACAAAGCCACTTTAAAACAGACAAAAGTGTCCTCACATTGTGTCCTTCCTTAAGGAGGCCCTCGAGGGCTTTGGCGATGTCTTCTGGTTGAGCTCCCTGTGCCTTTCCGGATTCTAAGCCCATGATGTCATTGAAGACAAAAGGCAGAACTGATTGTCCATCTCTTATGCAATAAGTTCTGTACTGTAGATAAATGCAGAAGTATAACAACAAAATAAACCATTTCAAATGTATTTGATATGGACACACACAAAAGCAACCAGCACATAAAACACGGCATTTGGATTGTTTCATGTAGATGGCTTCTTCTGCTTGTTGATGCAGAAGATATAGTAGTCATAGCTAGGGATTGGTGGCATAAATCCAGATGCACACTTCAGTAATTCACTCATTTTAAGAAATGCAACACATGTAATGTATCCTGGGTAGTGATCCTACAAAGTTAATGTATGAAATGTCATGATAAAACAAATCTGGTTGCTTGAGCAGCATTTCAAGAGTGCTGATTTAACAGTTCAACAGCAAAGACTTTTCAGTGTTTGCATCACAGATACAGATAAAACAGATAAAATAGCTGGCAATATTATATCTGAATCAGTGTTTGCATCACATGGCTTGTCCGAGGTCGGTCTGGGCATTTGTTCAGCGCCTCATTCAACACAGCTGTTATAATGGTGTTATCGTGTCTTTGTTCGGAACTAGTGTCGCTGGAGCAAAGAGAGTTAAAATAGCTGGCAATATTATATC